TGGGGTCTCTCCAGTGCATCCTCTGGGTCCTGGCCTTGGGGGGGCCGGCAGCTTCCAGCAGGCGTCATGCTCCCCGCCCCGCAGGGGGCGCAGGGCCCTCTTCTGCTTCATGGGCACTTTCGCAGAGCTGATCCCGCGATTCGGGGTTTAGGGAAAGCCTGTTTTCCTGAACCTGCTGCCTCTTATGAAGCCCTTTACAGCCCCCTCACGTCCTGTGGCTGACCACCAAGTAGGGCCTGCCTGGGGCAGCCAGGTGCCTCAGGGCTCGTGGGCTTTTAGGACCTTACGCTCCAGAACAGGAGACCTGAGTGAGGGGCTGGGTAAGGCTTTGCAGACCCCCTTCCAACCCAGAGGGTCCCAGCAGGGCCTGTGGTGAGGGGAGGCCGGGTGGACATCGACCTCCTCCCAACCCCTGCGACCCCTCCCACAAGGCCAGTACTCAGGGGTGGGCAGGGGCTTAGGAAACACCCTGCCACCTTTCTTTCCCACCCCAGTTCTGAATGTAGAGGCTGGTGGGTACTTCTCATTTTGCTGTGAAGGTGGGATGAGAGAATGTTCGCCTGCCCTGGCGTGGCCCACTTCCAGTGCGTGGCCCTGTGGTTTAACTGCTTTTAGGAGATAACCCCCATGCCCACTTCCTCCTCCTTTGCTCCCGGGGAAGGCACTGTGCTTCTGTAAGGTGGTTTGGCTCATGCTTTATAAGTGGTCAGACATGGCCGCCAGGTCTCAGCACAAGAACGCTTCCTTTGCACAGAATGAATGTCGAGCTTTGTTCAGACTAAATGAATGTATTTGGGGAGGGCTGGGGGCCTATCGATTCCAAGCACATGCCTTTGCTGAGTGTGTGTGTGCTGGGGATGGTTCGAGGGGATGCAGAGCGTGGTTTTATTTTTGTACTGATATTGGTAAGAGACTGTATAGCATCTATTTATTTAGATGATTTATCTGGTAAATGAGGCAAAAAATACAAAAAAAAAAAATACATTAAAGATGATTTAACAAAAGCTCGTTGGCATTGGTCATTCCTTCTGACGGTGTTGCTGCTGTGCTGGTAGAGGAGCTCTGGCCCTGACCTTGGGATGAGGTCCCAGGTCGGCCAGTTGCTGACCAGCATGTTGGATAAGCCATTCACTTTTCTGAGCCCTCCAGGCATACCGTGAGGATTAATTCAGGTGATGGATGGGAAAGTGACTTGAGAAATGAGAACTGTATCATGTAGATGGGGAGATACCCACCTCTGTCATGCCGGTAGCATAGTCACATGCCCAGCAGGGCTTCTGATAGCTTCTCCAGCCTGTTCTAGAACCTAGTGGTGATTAGCATCCCACATCTCTACACTTCCAGGTTCTGGAGCCCAGGACTGTCCTGGGCCTATCTCACCTACTGCTCTGTTCGTCGAAGCTCAGCACACCTGTCTGAATCCTTAGAGTGGTGGTCAAAGCAACAGGAATGAGAGGCAGGAGAGTCTTCCAAGAACATTTGCATTTTAGGTTCATCACTGGCGCTAGTGATGGGAGCAGGCAGGGTGGGAAGTCGGGGGATAGTTAGGAGGCTGTGAAGGATGGTGGTGGCCACAGTGAAGGAAGTGGCAGAGAAAGGGGGAGAAATGGAGAGGCTGAAGGTATATTTAGGAGGTAGGATTGTTAAGACATAGGGACTGAGTTGATGTGAAGGTGAAAATGGTGTCAAGGTTTATGCCAAGATTTCCAGGTTGGGCAACTGGATCAATTTTGGTCCCTCAAATGGATGGGAGACCAAAGGAGAAGTAGGAGGTTTGGAAGTGTTGTAACTTGGTCACCTCCAAAAGTAGGAGCTCTGGTAGCATAGTGGCTAAGGCACTTGACTGCTAACCAGAAGGCTGGCGGTTCAAACCCACCAGCCACTCCTCGGAAGGAAGGTTGGGCATTCCTACTTCCGTAGTGATACTGCCTCGGAAACCCAAGGAGGGGTCGCTATGAGTCGGGGCTGACTCGTTGGCAAACAACAACAACAACAAAGACAAGAATTTTATGTCAAATAAATTTAATTTTTTTATGTATAAAATTTTATTTGGGAAGTGATCTAAGGAGCGAGAGTGAGGGGCTAGGGAGAATGGGTCAGGAAAAGAAGAAAAGTCAATATAAGGTGGATTATTGAGGTCACGCAATGAATAAGGAAGACCAGAGAAGAGCTGATGGCTTTGAATTGTGGTGTTGGCAAAGAATACTGAAAATACCATGGACCGCCAGGAGAATGAACAAATCTGTCCTGGAAGAAGTGTAGTCAGAATGCTCCTTAGAAGTGAGAATGGCTAGACTTCGTCTCATGTACTTTGATCATCTTGTCATAAGGGACCAGTCCCTGGATAAGGGTATCATGCTTGGTAAAGTAGAGGGTCAGCAGAAGGGAAGACCCCCAATGAGATGGATTGACGCAGTGGTTGCAACAATGGGCTCCAGCATAGCAAGGAGGATGAAGCAGGACCGGGCAGTGTTTTGCTGTGTTGTGCATAGGGTAGCTATGTGTTGGAGCCAACTCAGCGGCATCTAACAACAAC